TGAAAACAATTCAGACAAAGCAGAAAGTTTCGAACAAAAATGGTTTCAAAAGACCACTTAAGTGAATATGGACCCAGCTTTTTGTAACCACATTATACTTATAATTACCGAAACAATACAGAACTGTTAGTTATACTGAACTATTGAACGTATTGACAAAGAAACTTCTATTTTCAATTATATGACAAAGTGCTATCAAGCTGACTATTTTAATGCGGCATTGTCCCCTTTTCTCCACTGTTCCCTCTCCCTAATCAAGTGCTACAATTTAAAACCATACTTATTCCCTGAATTTCTTATTTTACCAAAAAATATTCTGCATTTTACCATGATTCAAAATATCTGGTTAATTTAGAAAGAAAATTGTATTAATTTTTTTTAAATACTTCAGGAACTCGTAGTTTTGTTGGACCAAGTTTCCTCTTTGCTTAACTTATTTATTTTATTCTACGTGTATTTGGTTTCATAACTTTCACCAATTTGCAGACATGATGTTGACTTGTATTCCTTCATTTATCTGTATAATGTGTTATTTATCTTTATCATTATTCCATCCATTGACTCATAATATATTAATGATTCTTTGAATTTTATTTTATACACTATTTTAGATTTGTTTGCAATTTTATTGTCAATTTTAGGCTAATTAACTTGATGAAAACAGTGTATTGTCGAAAGGAGTTTTTTTATAACAAGATGTAAATTGTGTTTTGTTATGTTATTGTAAATGTAATAAGCTACCAAACAGTATACTGACTGTATAGGTAACAGGACGTTAGATAATATCATTACCAAGAATTACCATTCCCATCATTGAACCATAAACATTTGAGTGACGAATAAAAGAACCAACCAAGCGTGTTTAACAGCAAGTTCTTGGTGTATTAATCTTGCTAGTTGTTGTGCCATCCAATATAGACATTCTCTGATAATGTCGGACAGCCCTGTATAATATATTCAATTGATTCTCCACTTCATTAACATTTTCTGCATTTGTCTATCACATTTATCTTCATAACATTTTTTCGTACTTTTTGTTCACCTTCAAGATTATAGTTGATATTGTGTATTAGGGGTGCTTTTTGTGGCGTTACACGAAAGATTCAGTGGCATGTGACCTAATCAATTTCATTAACCTGCTGCATATTTAGATCAGAAGAGTTCATCAGTTTACTTTTCAAATTCTATTCTTGGTTCCTATATAACCAGTGTAAATTTAGTAGGCCTCTTCCTCCAACTTTTCGGGGTAGATAGAGTGTCTGTGGAAGAGTTGGGATGCAGCTAGCGGAATTTAGTGAGCAAAAATTATTATTAATATTTATTATTATTATATTATTATTATATATTATTATATATTATTATATTATATTATTATATATTATTATTATATTATATTATTATATTATATTATTATATTATTATATTATTATTATTACTACTATTAATTGGTCGATAGTTCATATTGTTTTATTCTTTAGTTTTCCAATATCGATTATAGTTCATTCTATATTTTTATAATCCCCTCTAATTCTAAAAATCAATTAAACAACATTTCATGTGCTAATAGAACGCTTAAACTCAATAAAAGGAGCTCGTGAATATATTATAGTGGGAGGATATCAGGACTTTAATTAAAAATACCTTTGTGCACTCCCACATGAAAATTCCTCGCTCGGCCAATGGAGGGGGAGGGGGGAGTGAGGGACTCCGCGGGAGCCGATCGAGGGTGCGGGGAGGCTGTGTGGAATTAAAGTAAAGTGGGAGGGGGGTTGAGGAGGGGGGTTGAGGAGGGGGCTCGCCGACGGAAGGGCCGCAGGCGGTGTGGAGCAAGTGGGGTCCAGCCTTTCAAAGCAGACAGTGGCAGCACGAGGGACAAACCACAGGGAGAAGCTGTCTCAAATGAGGAAACATAATCTAGATCATCTGATAGATTTTCAAGTATGAAGTGCGATGATTTCGTCCCTTTTCGGCAAATGTTTCTGCAAGACACCACCAAACACGATTATCGGGCAGATATAGAAGTTCCGTGACTATGAAGCCACGCGGATTACGCAATGAACATAAAAAAATCGAACATATATAAAATAATTGTATACGTTTGGCGATGTGGGACACTTTCGAAAGTGCTTACAATACCATATGAGGTGCGTTGGTATTATCCAAGAGGGAAACTGATGCAGTATTCTGTGAATATTGCAACTTAATTGAAATGCACCGACGGCAGGCAAAACTTCAGCAGGCCACGCCACGCTTCAGATATGTTTCATGTTTCACCAGGAAGGCATATGTGCTTCTGACACTACAAGCACTTGGGGTCACGAAATAGAGTTGCTTAGAATCTCTACGTTTGCTCCGTCCGTCGGTGGCCTCATGGCCCCTAAAACGGGTCTCAGCTGAGGCCGCCGGCGGCCTCATAGCACTAACTCTGAGACCATATCTATAATCCAATCCAAAAAGATAATCGTGGCAGTGAACACAAACAACACATTTCAGACTAAAAATGATAATACTTTTACTTAATGGGCACTTTAGAGAAAACAAATAGGAGCCCACTCAAGTATGTAGGATATAATCACAGTAGTTTAAGAAGTAACTTCTTCCGAGAGGACAGGAATTCTGGAATGTTCATAAAACAGACATCCCGGTGCCTGCTAACGGCAGGGTGGGGGCGGGGGGCAGGGGCGGGTCACGCACTGGATCGATGCGCCAGTGGAGAGCTGTGGAGGCGCCGTTGAACCCAGACGCATCCCGACGCTGCCTCGCCCCGGGGCCAAAGCGGAGCGGGAGACTACATTTCGAATTTGTTGCTGGCTGTTCCAGAGTACTTCATTCGTCCACACAATTTTCCTTCCGTCTTTTACAGCTGAGAGATTATGTTTTTGACTAGAAATAAACGATCTAAAAAGAGAAATGATTATAAAATACATTATTTTTAATCGAAGAAAAGAAATAAAAAATAAAAAAACGAATAAACATCGCAAGAAATTAGCTTCTGTGCGGATGTCACTCGACAAAGAGCGTGAAGAATTTCTCGTTTTAAATCACCCCACATCAATAACAAAATTAAGAGACTCTTGAACTTTATTAGGCTTTAAAAAGAGAAAATTAACATTCGAATTTGTGTAGTAATAATTTATTTTATCTTATCTGATCGCCTTTATATGGTGTTTTCATACGTGTTCGGAGTAGATTAGAAGTCTTATTATACCAACCTAATACAAATTCCTGAAATAGTTAAAACGGCTCGTTATTATGTCCGATATATAAATGCTGAAGTCAATATAACCGTCCATCACTAAGGTATAACGTTAAAAAATGACAAAATATTAAGAAGACGATAGAATGAGATAAAGTATATATTATTACTAGAGTCTAATAACTTCCACATAATGATATATTTTATTCACATTCAAGTTACGTTACTAATATCCGATTAAAAACGGAGAATTCAATCTTTAACAATATTTGTTACAATGAATTATACAGCAGTAAGGACACCTGCCTGAAATTAGTTTTCATTAACATTTTAAACAGGAAATACGGTTCATAAAATGTTTTCTTTGTACTAACAAGTATGAGAGACCTGGATAACATAAATCAAAAGTACTAGAAATTCCGTCTAAATAGTTAAATACAACAGTTGTCGAGTCTTCTTTTCTTTGGTCATCGCAAATTAGATTTAGGGAGTGTAATTTTGGCTATCTATATTTATTTACATTATATTTAAATACAACAGTAATCAATATTTTCCTGTCATTTAATGAGGAGTTTAGATTTCGGAATTTTTGTTTCCTGTAACTATGTCTTTACCGAAATGCAGCATTTACAAAGATCAGTTATATTTTCTCCTAATGTGCTTTGGCAAGAACATATTATTAGCGTTTCAAGTAGGCCTACTTTCTTTTGGTGAGAATGCAACAAGTGTATATTTAGTATACGAACATTCAAGAATAAATTGACGGAGACCTTTTTACAGATTCAATATCACCCAATACAATTACCATCATTCTCAAAACAACTCGTGATGGAGCATGTGCTTAAAAACACCTGTCAGGCCTTAGTGAAAATGGCTGCTGATATTTTCGAACACTGGATTGCTGAACAGGTAATAGCTCGTTCTAAAACACCATCAATAATCGTTAGGCAAACCGGCCCTTAACAGGAGTACTTTAGCGGTGGCGCACCCACAGCGCGCCTCCATTGATAGAGTAACCTGTTATCGCAGAAATGTATTATGTCGACTAAATAAATAGGGAAGAGGCCCTTATTCATTGATAGGTTCTTTTGATTTAAAAACGCACTGTGGCAACCACTGTTCTTGAATACAACTAATACAATTATCGATATTCTCAACAGTCAAGACATCCCGCTAAAGGCAAGACCTTAAAATGAACACAGTTGTGAGTTTCTGGAAGGGACTCGGTTGATAAGGACCTTATTTACCTACAGGCCAAACGGGCCTGCATCAATGGTGGACATCGCGCTTCAGAAAAAAGTATCAAATAATCGGAAAAAGTCATAAAATATTTTATTGTAAAATAATTGTAAATCAAATTTACTAACATACTAAGAAGTTTACATACACAAACATAAATTATTTGATTCAAGTGATAAGTAACTAATCGTGTATTTGGTTTTGCAGAAAAGAAATTTAAAATTTTAATATAAAAATATTATAAGCTCAATTCTATTGGCGGTTTCCTGACTTTCATTTGTATTTTTACCAAAAAGCTGTTCTATTGTAATGAGTAATTTTAGTAAACCTGGACGGGTAGGCCAACACGACTTGGTGCCTGGGAGCCTCGTGAAATCCAAATCCGGCCGTGCGTGTGATATTTGGGGGCCTGGAACATTCCATCGCAAATCGATAGGCGCGGCGCGGCAAGAGCCGTCCGCATGGGGTGGGGGCCGCCATCTTGTGGGCGGCGCTTCCCCCTCCATCGCGCCTTGGGGGGGCGGGGCCCCGCGCGGCTGGCGGCGGGCGCAGGGCGGTCGGCCGGAGGGCCCGCAGTCATCCACGGCCCCTCGCCGCGCTCGGTCGCTCGCCTGCACCACCGTTCAACTCTCCGCTCTCGCGCTCCCGCGTGTGTGTGTGCGTGTGTGTGTGTGTCCGTCCGCCGCCACCATGCACGCCATGAGTGATCCCACGGCCTTGGCCGGCATGCTGCCCTTCGACTCCATCGGCCTGTACGAGCAGCCCAAGCCGCGCTTTATCTTCAAGATGCCGCGAGTGGTGCCCGACCAGAAGGCCAAGTTCGAGTCGGACGAGCTTTTCCGACGTCTCAGTAGAGAGAGCGAGGTGAGCACCCAACACATGTGGGGAAGACTGCGATGGTGGGGGTGTATCATATTGCTCACCTTTGACCAAAATATTACAATAAAATCCGAAGGAATGTCGAGGTGGTGTTTGATTCT